ACCACTTTGGGTATATTGTGCATATGTATCCCCTCCAAGGAACATACGCAGTCTTTCTGCATATGGAAGCTATGGCAGCATCTACATTAATTTCACCAAAACGCAATAACGTTATTCAAGTCTCAACTTGATACGTTGTGCAAAAAATCGTGTTAATCGGACAAACATTAGAAGGTTGGGGCACCATTTATGTAAAATCGGACGAATATATATGTATATGTGGGAGCTAAACCAGAACCGATTTTTCCGAAACTTAGGACACATCATTCTAGATTTAATTCAGTACGCTGTGCCAAATTTCATGCAAATCGAAAGGTATATAGGAACTTTGGTGCACCATTTACCTTAAATCGGACGAGAATATATATGGGAGCTATATCTAAATCTGAACCGATTGTTTCCAATTTCAATAGGGTTCGTCCTTGGGCCAAATAAGTGACTTGTGCCAAATTTCATTCAAATCGGATCATAAATGCGACCTGTACTTTGTTTACAATTTAACATCCACAGACGGACGGACGGACGGACGGACGGACATGCATAAATCAACTCAGAAAGTGATTCTATGCATATTCTCAAAAGGAACCATGTGTCTATCTCGTTTCCTTTTGCCTGTTACAAACATATGCACAAAGACATAATACCCTGTACCACAGTGTGGTGAAAGGTATAATAACACTCAAAATCGAGCTTCAAAATATCAGCATCATTTATAGGTAGATGCAAATAAATTTTCGAAAAACGGTACATAAGGGGTGTAATCCTCATTTTGTAGGCTTTTACTTTTACTAATTATTATTGTTTCATTAAAATGCATAGTTGAAAGAGTAATCATATAAATAATACACAAATATATACCGAGTGTGTTAATCGCTGAGTTCAATGTCAAGATTCAATTTTTCCATTCACCCGCTGCCTGCCATCTAATTCAACTAAGCCAGCACAGACAAACTGGAGGCACAGTTGTTTTTTTATTGCAGTTGTGCTCGCCTATAATTATTATGTATGAGTTTTGTTATCATCAGCTTAGTGTAGAATTTTTACATCGACATTAGGAAGCGTAAGTATAGATTTTATTTTATTTTATTTCCATAAAAACTTGAATTGAAAAAAAAAGAGAACTGAACAGAACAGAAATTAAAACTGGCAATTGATAATTCTAAATGTTGATAAGAACATCGGAGTAGAGAATAATGCCAGACCTAGTTTTCCCCCGGGGGAAATGATTTAAACAAGCGAGGGAGTGATAGCGATAGACAGAGAGCGGAGAGAGAGAGAGAAAGTGACCATGTTTTACAACTACAGTCTATTCTGGATTATTTCAATTTGAAATTCATTTTATATTGGGAAAAAATTAATGGAAGTTGTTTGACGGAACAAAGACAAAATGTTTCTGACTTTGGTTCGAGATTTAGAGATGTGGTCATAAATTCGCTTAGGCTTGCAATGTAACACAGCCTTGGCTACACCGAAATTTGCCGGAAACTATAATTGTCTAAGAGAACTCTACTCCGATGTGGTGGATGAGAAATTTTCCGATATTTCCGTTATGCGTTTCGGACATTTTTTGTAATTTTCCCAAATGCCAGCGTCGAAACGAAATATATAAGGGACCAAGAAATGTCTTATAAGAAATATTTTTTTTCCAAAATAGAGATAGACACATGATTCCTTTTGAGAATATGCATAGAATCACTTTCGAAGTCGATTTACGCATGTCCGTATGTCCGTCCGTCCATGTATTTTTGTGAACAAAGTACAGGTCGCATTTATAATCCGATTTGGATGGAATTTGGCATAGGTCACTTCTTTGGCCCAAAGACGAACCCTATTGAAATTGGGAAAAATCGGTTCAGATTTAATGTAAATGGTGCAAAAAATCCCTATATGTCTTTCGATTTGCACGAAATTGGCACAGCGTAATGAATTAGGTCTAGAATGATGTGTGTTAAGTTTCCTGAAAATCGTTTCAGATTTAGATATAGCTCCCATATATATTTTCGTCCAATTTAATGTAAATGGTGCAAAAAAGTCCCTATATGTCTTTCGAGTTGCACGAAATTTGGTACAGCGTAATGGATTATGTCTAGAACGATGTGGGTTAAGTTTCCTGAAAATCGGTTCAGATTTAGATATAGCTCCCATACATATTTTCGTCCGATTTAATGTAAATGGTGCACCAAAGTCACTATATAAATTCCGATTTGCACGAAATTTGACATAGAGTAATGAATTAAGTCTAGAATGATGTGTGTTAAGTTTCCTGAAATCGGTTCAGATTTAGATATAGCTTCTATATCTGACCAAATGAAAAAATTAGTGTCGGTTGCAGAATGACATTATTATGGATCCAACTTTACTGCTCCTTTAAAAATGCGACGTCTGTTAGGATTCATCTGTTGAATATACCCAAAGTGGTGAAGGGTATCATATAGTCGACCCCGTCCGACTTTACTACTTTCCTTACTGGTTTTTATATCATGGCAGTCATCTTTGAAAAATATCTTTAAACAAATCTAAGCTGAGTAGGCATTTAAGAAAAGTCTTCGTTAAAAATCCATGCATTTTTATTCCTTTAACATATAGTCCATAAAATAATCACACTTTGCTTGTCCAGATTCCCTTCACCGTGGGTTGTGTTGTGATGTTCGGCTTTCATTTGTGGTCTATATATCGACTCGAAAATAACAAATAAAGTTTTCGGTCCACCTCATTCCAAAATTATTATCTGATCATCACCGAAAATTATAGGCGTTGTCCTTGACCATAACTGGAACCTTATGGAACATTTCAAAGCGATCAGCGCTATAGTTCCGCGCTCTAGAGTGATAATGGGTTACTAAATAATATGCGGATATGGAGATACCTGTAAATATTTAGGTGTATCTCCCACATCCGAGCACATACAACAATATAATTGGTATTAATTTAAAGGTCAACCACTCCTCTTGGATATAATATCAACTTCTCGGGTCTATGTCATTCAGGGGTAAATATATATGCTATAGAATACAAATTTTTTCACACAAAAGTCAGGGTCCATTTGACACGCTAAATATTGACCAATCATTATCAAAACAGGTATGCTTATTCTTTGGCCCGATCCCCTTCTCCATGCAAAATTTCACGATGTTCGGGCCATTATTGCGGCCTCTGGAGCGACCAGAAAAACCGACAAAAATTTAGTATAAATATTAACCGATCTTTCCCAAAAACAATAGGGGTCTTCATTGGTCAGAACCCATCCTACATGCAAAATTTCGTGAAGATTGGTCCATAACTGTGGCCTGTATCGTGTTTACAAATTATAATGGACAGACGGACGGAGTCGATCTAGACACATGTCTAGATCGACTCAGCTAGTCGAGATATGACGATCGGTATACTTAAAGGTGGGTCTAGGACCAATATTTCGCGGCGTTACAAACTTTTGGGGCTGCACAAAGCTATAATACCCTGACAACATAGTTGTGTAGGGTATAAAAATAGTCTGGCTCACATGGCTCAAACCATGTGGCGTGCATTCAAAATGTCTTAAGTCGATTGGACCTTTGTATGAGGAATATGTAATTGCAGATTATCTGCTATTACGTTTATAATTCTCTGTGAAAATTAACAGCCAAATTAATGACACTTCGGTTGGCAAAATTGGAAAAGAACTTGCACATACCGAAAATCCTATGTCAAAATTTGGTCACCTATTGAAAATTTTCTGCTGAGTTGTTGTTGACCCTCAATAAACATGGAACGAAAAATTAAACCCACTCCAGTGGCAAATCATCGTTAGAATCTTCAAACTATCAAAAATGAGGCGGGAACTTTATATGAAAGGGCTGTGTTAAGTCATTGGCCTACATCGATAATTTCAATATTGGGACTATGTCAAAACAAGGGCCTGTATGGAACATTTTCATATGACCGCCACTTCTTTTGGAAAATGCACCAAGACCAATCACAATACCTAACATTTGGGCTGTGTCGAAATATGGACCTAAATTGAAAACTTTCAACCTCTGGAACTACAAATTACATCGCCTTTAATAAAAAATGCTGCTAATATTTCAGATACTAAAAATTAAAAGCGTTGTTGAGTTTAACCTGACGACATAACTTCAAAAGTGGGTAGGCACTTTTATATAGGTGCAATGTCAATGGGCCTATACCGAACATTTTCTGAGAAGAAGCTTTTATTCAACATTTAACCACTGCGATGGTAAATTGGGGCTAACTCTTCACACTATGGAGAATAGGAAGACACCTTCATGTGGGGTCTTTGTCACAGCATGGACATATATTGTTCTTCTTGCATTCTTCAAAGACGTTCTCCCCCCTCCAAGAACCTGGAATACCACTACAACAACTCCGTTGTAGAAAAATGTGGTTAAAACTTCAATATCCTTAAAATGGAGCCGGTCCCTGTATATGGAGGCTATATCAATGCATGGACGTATATTGAAAATGTTCTGCTAGGATCTGTTACACCCACATGTATATGAAGGTCCTACAGGAAAACATGAACCTTTTTTGAAAAAGTTTCTGCAATGAAATTTTTATTGAAGAAGATCGGTTCAGATTTAGATATAGCTCCCATATGTAGTTTTGTCCGATTTTAGGTGAATGATGCACCAAACTCTGAATATGTTTCCGATTGAGACAAAATTTTGCACAGAGTTCTGCAACATATGTTAGGACACCTCTGTTGAATATACCCAAAGTGGTGAAGGGTATCATAAAGTCGTCCCCGCCCGTCTTTACTACGTTTCAACACTCTTTCCCTCGTTTCATTTAAGCGGAGTGGACTGTCTTTAAAATATTTATTTATATGTTTTCTCAATGCATTGTAAAAATAATAACAAATCATTCAGTTCGTATTTTGCAACGGAAACAGAGCGTTGTTTATACCCAATAGAATAATAAATATAAAAAAAAAACAACAATAACAATAACAACAACTGTAACAAACGACAATACGTAAAACGGGGAAAAATCCATTTGGGGAAATGAAGTTATCCCTATTTTGGCAACTACTATTCGTGGCCTCGGTGATTGGCAATGTCGTTCTAGCCTCTGACCTGGCCTCATTAATAAATAGACGCCAACAAAAACTCATCGAAAGTTCTATGGACTTGAAGGCGGACCCTTGTGAAGATTACTATCAATATGCCTGTGGCAAATGGGGTCAACATATCGATGGTGCTGGAAGTAAATTCTACGAAACCCTTACCATGTTGGATTATCAGGTCAATCGTGAGCTATCGCATCACATGGCCAGACTGCGGTTGAGAAATGGGCCACGCTTTGTCCGCAAGGCCTACGAATATTATAAATCGTGTGTGGATGTGGATCGTTACAAGCCGTTGGAATATTTGCGTTGGATGAAACTGCATGAAAATTTAAAGTGGCCCACATTGTGGGCGAATCCCAAACCGAATATCGAATTTGATTGGGTACGAACGTTGGCGGTAATGCGCCGCTATGGCATGAATGGCATACTTATCGAGGAGGTTGTCTACCAAAAGAAGGATGATCCCAGTAGACTTTCTTTGGATTTGGATAAGCCTGTGGAAAGTGGTGGTTTCGTGGCTCTGACCAAGGAAAATCTTAGGGTCCTTATTGAATCGCTGGATGTGCCAATGAACTCGCGGACATTTGGAAAATTGTGGCAAGAGATACGGGATTTTGAAGAATTGCTTTTAAAACTGGACGATATATCCGATGAGGAGGGCAGTCGTTTGATAACCATCAAAGAATTACCTTTGCCATGGTTAAATACATATTTGGAAATTATTTTAGAACAAACTACGCTGGATCCAAACATGGAACTATATATACAAAATATACCCTATTTAGAGGCATTGGATGCATTGCTGCAGGAATACGACAATCGTTTCATTTGTAAATATCTAGAAATACGTTTCCTATGGCATGTGCACATTAAAGGTCCCGAAAATTTCATGGAAGAAGATTGCATGTCCTCTACGCGTAGCCTCCTGCCGTTGGCTATGCATTGGATCTATGAACAACAAAAACCAGAACTTCTTCAAGAGCAAAGTAAAATTCATGAACTCTTTCAAAATATCATTAAACAATTTAAGAAACAATTACAACAAAACACACATGGGTTCAATGAAACCATACTCACCTATCTGCTAAATAAATTGGATCACATTCAATTGAAAATCGGCAATTTGCCACGAATCAATACCGTTGCGGTGTTGGAACAACACTACGCGAACTTGACATTGAATGTCAGTGATTTTTATGGAAATCATTTAAAGCTCCTCGCCTTTAATTTTCGAGCTGTGCATTTGGCTAACAACAATACCCTGTCCACCAATGCCAGCCATTATTTCCATCTGGAAAATTATGAAACGGGATCCAGTTCCTCGCCCTATTTTATACAACGTTCGAATATTGTCATTATACCCGTCACAGCGCTGCAGCGACCAATTTATCATCCCAGCCTTGAGGATATTTATAAGTATAGCTCCCTGGGTTTTCTACTGGCCCATGAAATTCTACATGGTTTCGATTATACCGGCCTGGAGGTGGATATCAATGGTAAACTGAATACAGCCCAATATAATAACATTTTGGCCAACACTAACTTTGATGACAACTATCAGTGCCTACGTCAATTGAATCCCTATGTCATCGATGAAAAAATTGCCGATGTCAGTGGTCTGCCTTATGCCTATGACACCTTTTTCAGTCTCTATCCGGAGGCATTGAACAAAACGAGGCAGATCTATGGCATTCAAATGCCTTTGAAGAAATTGTTTTTCCTTAATTTTGCCCAATTCTTTTGTGGCATTACAACGTCAGATTCCGATGATTATTTGCTTAGTACCAGTGAACATGGCATGGGCAGTGATCGGGTCAACGATGCTCTGACACATTTTCCCGAGTTTGCCAAAGAATACAATTGTGGTGCAGCGAGTCGTTTGCAGACAGCGAGAAGTTGTAATTTATGGCGGCGTTAGTATAAGGATTTTAAAAAAATAAATTTGCTAATTTACAAAAAATGTGGTAAAATATGATATAGCAAACTATGATAAACAACAATAAAATGTAAATAAAACAAGTAACAAAATGTGGAATATATACCCTCAGCGTATGGTTTGTGGAAGTCTACGGAATTATACAAAGGCTGTTTTTTAGTTGTATTAAAAGTATATGTTTCTACCAAAAAGTTGATAATTTGTGACTAAGTTCCAGAAGAAGTTGCCATATAGACCCCATCATCGGATTTAAAGTAGCTTTGGAAAATATTACGATGTGCAAATAAAATTAATTAAATCGGTTATTCAATACGCTTCAAATTAAATTTACAGTTTTGTAAAATGTTTGCCCTTTGTGGGGAAGGTACCAGAGAGAGAGAGAGAGGGAGGACCAGCGGGTCCCACATTCGAATTTGATCTATGTATTTTAACATATTGCGATGAGCAAAACTTCGCCATTCTCTAGCCCTAGAAAACATATTCTTTAAAAGTTCCACACCTATATCTGGCTCTTAAAAATGTTAAAAAGATATATAATCTTTTAATTTTCCCGCCAACTTTTCTTGAAGACTCTACCCCTATGGTGACCATTCTGTGGCCCTTGACGAAAACGTTTTTTTAATCCACGCCATTCTGTGGCGTTTGAAAAATATTCTATGCTACCCCTTAAAATTGTTTCTTTAAAATACCACACCTATACCAGAGAGAGAGGGAGGACCAGCGGGTCCCACATTCGAATTTTATCTTTGTAAGTAAACACATTTCGATGAGTAAAACTTCACCTTTCTGTGGCCCTTAAAAACATTTTTTAAAAAATCCACTCCATTCTGTGGCCCTTGAAAAAATATGTTGACTCTTGAAAAAATATTTTTTAAGAAATCCACGCCTAGGTTGACTTTTGAAAAAAAAATATTTTTTAAGAAATGCACGCCTAGGTTGACTTTTGAAAAAATATTTTTTGGGAAATACACGCCTAGGTTGACTTCTGAAAAAAAAATATTTTTTAAGAAATCCACGCCTAGGTTGACTTTTGAAAAAAAAATATTTTTTAAGAAATCCACGCCTAGGTTGACTTTTGAAAAAAATATTTGTTAAGAAATCCACGCCTACGTTGACTTTTGAAAAAAATATTTTTTTTTAAGATATCCACGCCTAGGTTAGTTTTTGAAAAGAAAATTAAGAAATCCACGCCTAGGTTGACTTTTGAAAAAAATATTTTTTAAGAAATCCACGCCTAGGTTGACTTTTGAAAAAAATATTTTTTAAGAAATCCACGCCTAGGTTGACTTTTGAAAAAAAAAATATTTTTTAAGAAATCCACGCCTAGGTTGACTTTTGAAAAAAAAATATTTTTTAAGAAATCCACGCCTAGATTGACTTTTGAAAAATTTATATTTTTTAAGAAATCCACGCCTAGGTTGACTTTTGAAAAAATAGTTTTAAGAAATCCACGCCTATGTTGACTCTTGAAAAAATCCACGCCTCTGTTGACCCTTAAAATATTATATTTGCTCTTTACAAATGCACGTCTATAGTGGCCGTCGAAATAATATTATTTAATACCTCCACCCTTAAAAATGTTTCTTTAAAAAATCCACGCCTATAGTGTGTCCGTATATCTGGATGGCACGTCCTATGAGTCTTGAAGGGAGTAACCTTTCAGACTTCGCACTTCGTAATATATCTTTTAAACTTAAATGAAGTTCGAACATGGTGAATATCGGTCCTCTCTTTCTGGAACGTACCCCTCAAAATGGCCAAACTTATCTTGAAAATTTTGCATAGGCCTTGGAAAATATTCTTAAAAATCCATGCCATGCTATGGATCTTGATAAAATATTTTTTATGGCCCCTCAACAATTTTTCTTCAAAAACTCCACCCCTATTTTGACCGTTAAACAAATTTCCTTCAAAAAAAATATTTTTTAAAAAATCCACGGCTTTGTTAACCCTTGAAAAAATATTGTTTAAAAAATGCAAATCTATAGTTACCCTTGAAAAAATATTTTTAAAAAATCCACTCCTATGCTGACACTTGAAAATATTTCTTTAAAAAATCCACGCCTTTATTGCGCCTTCTATAGCAGCCCCGCCATATATTACTTTTGTGGTTTTAAAAAGGCATTCACGGTTCCTGGAGAGAGAGAGGCCCATTGTTTGGACAACGCGCATATATAAATGTCGGAATCTTTATATATGGGTTTATGAATTATGCGATGCGACTATGGCTCCATGTTTTGCATAGCACCCATTTGATATATTTTAAAATATATTTTATATTTGAACTTGGGGTTCTTGAATTATTATAAATATGTTGCAAACAAAGACCCTGTTTGGCAATACCACCATATATAGATCCCGGCACTTTTACTACATTGTACAGTATTACGGTATACCATTTCTCTCCACCAAAGTGCATGTAATGTTGAATTTTGGATGCAGAAAATCACATATGATGGAACTTCATTATATCGTCGTTTTGACCTTGCCACCATATAAAGATCCCGCTCGATTTTTATACCCTTCACCACACTGTGGTACAGGGTATTATGTCTTTGTGTATATGTTTTTAACAGGTAATAGGAAACGAGATAGACACATGGTTCATTTTGAGAATATGCATAGAATCACTTTTTAAGTCGATTTATGCATGTCCGTCCGTCCGTCTGTCTGTCTGTCCATGTTAAATTGTAAACAAAGTACAGGTCGCATTTATGATCCGAATTGGATGAAATTTCGCATAGGTCACGGGTAAGTAAAATCAAATAATAATGTTTACTGTATTTTATCCTTTTAATTGGGTAAGTAAAATCAAATAATAATGTTTACTGTATTTTATCCTCTGCCATAAGAGGGAGTGTAAATTTGTCCATTCGTTTAAGAAAATGTAAAATATTCCATCTAAATCTACAATATCACTTACGGTTCGTCACAAATACTGACCTATATAGAGTTTAATACAGCCGTGTGGGTATATATAGGGCATAATATAGCCGTGTTCATTTAAAAATTTTGAGAATTTGAGGCCGTAGAAAAAATATACTGCCGTTTTATTTCCGAAAATTGATAAATGCAAATACCGCATTGATACCGCTATTACTTCCTAGAATTTTTTTCTTTCAATTATAATTAAAATATATAAATGCTAGCACATAATAAAAATCGAATCACGTAGAATTCAATTGAGATTGGCACGTTCATTGCATTCGATCAGTCCGTAAGTCAGTCAGTAACAAACTCGACATTCGAAATGAAATTACGTCGCATAATAATTGCATTGTTGCTTATCATCGGTGGCGGCTTGTTGGCCGATGCAGCTTCTCAACAAATGGCGAATTTCGTAAATCGACGACAACAAAAACTCATTGAAGGCTCTATGGATGTAGAGGTGGATCCGTGTGAAGATTTTTACCAATATGCCTGTGGCAAATGGGAGGAATACGTTGAAGGAGCTGGCTTCGAATTTGCCGAAACACTTAGTATGATGGACTTTCGGGCGAATAAAGATTTCATGGATTATATGAACAAACTGAAGTTGTGGAAGTCACCAAGATTTGTCAAGAAGGCATATGCGTTTTATAAATCCTGTATGGATGTGCAGTTGTATGAGTCGCAATTGTATTTAAATTGGTTGGCAGAAAATGAACAATTAAAATTGGCTTCATTGTTTGGAGATTTGGAAACAAACCATGATTTGGGAGAGGAGCAGCCGGTGGTGCTGGTATTCGATTGGATTCATACATTGGCTGTTATGTGGAAATATGGCATGAATGGTGTATTCCTGGAGCTGACAGCATTCTACCCCAAAGAAAATCCATTAAAATTAACAATTGATTTGGACAAACCACTGGAGGTGGAAGAAGGTGGTGCTGGTTTCAAATCCCTGACCTATAGGAATCTAAAGGAAATCATACGCTCCTTGGATGGACTAGTAAAGCCAGGAGAATTTTCAAAAATATGGAATAAATTTCATAAATTTGAGGAAAAACTGGTGGAATTAAAGGAAACAACAAATCTCCAACCAAATGAAAGTGAACAAATTGCACTTAAAGATCTACCTTTGGAAAGGTTGGAAAAATATCTTCGCATTGCCCTGAATCAAACAATTTGCGATAATCAAATTGAATTGTATATTCAAAATGTGCATTACTTTAAGGCCTTGGATGATCTGCTAAAGGGTTATGAAAGTGCATTTATTTCCCAATATTTACAAATACGTTTCCTGTGGCACATGCGTGAACAGCGACCACCCATATTTACTGCTGAAGGTTGTATTGTCCCCACCAGGGGTCTCCTCTCACTGGCCATGCATTGGATTTATGAACAACAAAAGCCTCACATTGAAGAAGCGATACCAGAAATTCAAAACGTTTATGAAAATATCAAAAAACAAATTAAAATAACTCTTCAGGAAAATCAAAATAATTTCCATCCCTCTACTCTGGATTTTTTATTGAATAAATTAGCCCAACTTCAATTAAAGGTTGGCAATTTGCCACGGTGGAATACCTCAGCTGTATTGGAAAAATATTACGAAAATCTTACCCTTTCCGTAAATGATTTCTATGGCAATCATTTGAAATTATTGGCTTTTCAAATCGAAAATAAAAAATATTTCTATAAAACCCTAAATGACTCGAACTATTTCCACCTGGAAGAATATGATACGGCTGCAAGTCCATCACCCTATTTCATACACAAAGATAATATGGTAATGTTACCCAGTACAGCTGTACAGCGTCCTCTATATCATCACGGACATGAGGACGTATATAAGTATAGTTCATTGGGTTTCCTACTAGCCCATGAAATACTTCATGCATTCGATATCAATGGCCTAGAAATGGATAGCAATGGGATGCTGAACTCCTCACATTATCACGAAATTTTAGCCAACTCGAAATTTACTCAACAACTGAAGTGCCTGCGCCGACTCAATCCAATGGTGATAAATGAGAAAATTTCCGATGTCAGTGGTTTACGCTATGCCTATGAAACATTTTTCAATCAACATTCGGAGGCTGTGAATCGCACCCGCCGCATCTATGGTCGTGAAATGGCATTGCCAAAATTATTCTTCTTAAATTTTGCTCAATTCTTTTGTGGCTCCATTTCATCGGTGTACTATGTCAGTGTCAATGAACATGGCAGTGATCGAGATCGTGTAAATGATGCTGTTTCACAATTTCCCGAATTTGCCAAGGTGTTCAATTGCAGTGTCGGCAGTCGAATGCAAGCTAATGAGAGTTGTAATTTGTGGCGATGAAAGATGGTCAATAAAAATATATTTTTAGAATTCTATTTGTTTTATTCTTTTCGGGTGAAATATGGTGAGTAAAAAGGTTATTATATTCGGCAGGACCGAACATTCAATATGAGGATCAAAAAAAAAACAGTAAGGAACGTTCAAAAGTCGGACGGGGTCGACTATATGACACTCTTCACCACTTTGGGTACATGCAAGACATGTTAATATCTACAATATCCTGTAGATAGAACGGTCATAGAATCTTTGGAGGACCATTGAGATGAAATCGGGTGATATTAAATGTGCTATCTAGATAAATATTTGAACCAATTGAAAACCCCCGTTCACATATCATTCTGAAATCAATGAAACATTGCATGTCAAACGGACGTACTTGGATTCTTTAGTGTACCATCGAGTCAAATTATGTATGGGAGCTATATATAAACTCATGGACCTAACTGAGTAACCGTTGCATACAACATTTGTTTTATGTAATCACTATATTCAATTGAATACCCTCTGCCAAATTTCCTGTAACCACCATTTACATAAAATCGAACGAAAATATATATAAAACCTATATCAAAATCTGAACCGATTTCAACAAACCTCACGCATCACGCATCATTTTTTTATCAATAGCATTCGCTATGCAATATTCTACTCATTGCATAGCGAATGATCTACTAAATCGTGGGACAAATACCTTAAATATCTTTCGATTTGCACGAAATTTGTCATAGCATACTAAATTATGTCTAGAATGATGTGTGCTAAGCTTCATGAAAATCGGTTCAGATTTTGATATAACTCCCATATATAATTTCCGATTTAATAGGAATGGTGCACCATAGTTCTTATATATCTTTCCTTCAATTTAATGCCAATATTCTTTCGAAAAGGCGACGTCTGTTAGGAGACTATGTAGAATATAATCAAAGTGGTGAAGGGTATCATATTGTCGGCCCACTCCGACTTTACTACTTTCCTTACTGGTTTTTAGGCTCGGCATATGCAACAAATATTCGGTCACACCCCAGCTATGTAAGCACTTCTGAAAGGACTTATATATTTTTATATTTTATATCTAAATATATACTAACCAATTTCAACAGGTTGCGTCAAAAAATGCACACTTATACTTGGGCAGGTCATCCGACCATTCACTATAAGGTGAATGTCTCCATCCCCAAGTATTCGGTATGTTTGGAAATTTTCACGTTTTTTTTTTAACGAGATGGATGTAATTAATTATTTTGGATTATCATTGTGGAACAAATCCCCTTACAAAATTTTTTCAATATTGCTTCATATTTGCTGTCAAATTACGCTACCCCTAATTGTTGGTATTTTTCAACGGTATACGGGGATATGCCATGATATGGCATACCCCCGTATTACTGATCCCCTGAGGATTTCAGCAATATTTTTCAAAAGAATTTTTAATTCGATTCGCATGGTTTTCGGGTCATAATTGTGGCCTCTAGAACGACAAAAAACTGACAAAAATAATGTTTTTGGTCCATTTCATCCCCAAAATATTAACGGATCATTACCAAAACCAATTCGTGACGATTGGCATGAGTTTCGTAACGGTGGTAGGCATCGTGTTTATCGCCTCTAGATCGACTCAGCTAGTCGATCTGCATACTTAAAAGTGACTCTCTTAGTTGTGTAGGGTATAGAAGCCCACACAATTTGTTTTTTAATCATTAAAAATCTCAGGATTGAAAAAAATTCAATTAAAAATGCTAGATTTTTAAACCAGTAAGGAAAGTAGTAAAGTCCGACTGGGACGACTATATGATACCCTTCACCACTTTGGGTATATTCTACAAATGTATCCTAAAAGACGTCGCCTTTTTGAATGAACAGTGACATACAATTGAACGAACTTAAATATGTGATCTTTATCTATATCTAAACTGACTAACATCAATCCCTAGTAGGGATTGCCAAAACTTCGTTAAGGAAAAATGCTAGATTTTGTTGAAAAAATGCTAGAAAGTGCTAAAAAATTTAAAAAAGTGCCAGAAAAAAGTGCTAACAATTTCTAGAACAAAATTGTTAATATTTAATAATGAAATATTAATCAGAAACCCCATTTATTCTTAACGATTATTCGTTGTCGATTTAACCATGTCCGTCCGATTGAGGTCGCAATATTTAAGGCAGAGCTTTGGAATTTTACACATACGTTGGTACTACTCCTATGAGATTTGATATTGGAAATGGAATACATCGGTCGTTTTTGGGTACACCATACCCCAATATTTTTTTTTTAAGCTTTTAGGCATATTTTTCATCCTAAATTACTGTATATTTGTATATTGTGTTCTACCTGGATATATAGTCTTCTTACTAGAACTTATCAATATTGGTCCACTCTTAAGGGTAGCCCTCATCAATTGCAATGGTTTTAATTTGATTGTTTAAATTTTGTTGAGTAAAAAATCTCCTTATCAAAAATTATTAATATGGGTCCATATTTAGGGGTAGCCCCCAGAGAGCGGTACCCTCCCCATTATTCGACATTTTGGGAACGTCGTACATGCAACCGAATTGACCAAATTGTTTCTATATTTTGTTTTGATGGGGTTTGAAGTCTTCCTACTAAAATATAAATACTAATAATGTCAAAATTTGGTTAAGGTAAATAGCTGTAATTTCACATTGCGTACAAATATGAAGACAACTATCAATTTTCGCCCTATTTGCGTACTTTTACGTTTTTATAATCTCATTCCCAACAGCGATGGGAATGAGATTCCGGCAATATGTTTGCCGGAATTTTTCTATTTTGGTCTTTATTCTGGCACAATCCCAATATAAAGGGGTACGCTCGCCTTTTCGGTAATCTAAAGTGGTTATAACTTGGCATTCGGGATTCCCGCTGAATTAAAAACTTGTTTTCAGAAAGTTCCAATATAATTCATGTTCATTATTATTACATCGCTCTCATAAAATGTACAACTTAATTTGGTTTTTCATTTTCCCAAACAAACAATCTACCAACAGATAATGTCATAGTCACCCCATGAAGTACCCGACCATTTTTTAAGAAATTTGGAATGCACGGCACATGCTGGATAGCATTGGAAAATTAAATTCATCCCGTAAAACATAGCGAAAATTCAATGCGTCAATATTAAATCGAACCAGTAAGGAAAGTAGTAAAGTCGGACGGGGCCGACCATATGATACCCTTCACCACTATGGGTATATTAAACAGGACTATTAACATGAAATTGGATGAAATAAAATATGTGATATTTATCTAAATGTGAATCTACCTAGATCTATCCATAAAGTATTTAAATCGACTTCAAACAAATATAAATAGGTCATCCGTTGGGCTATGTCTGTACTTCTAGAAAACGCAACTAGGTTATTCTATGCTCAATTTTGTAAGTTGTGCAAAATTTGATGTCAATCTGACTACATGGGGAGTTTGATGACCAATTTACTTGAAATCGGGCGAAAATATATATGGAAGCTATATCCAAATATTAAGCGATTTCAAACAAACTTGTCACATGTTAGGTTATACTAATTTCAGAACGTTTTGTTCCAATTGGTTCCTTGGTGCGTCAATTACTTAAAATCAATCTATAATAAAAGGAAGCTATATCTAAATCTGGACCGATTTTCACGAAACAAGGTAAACATCACTCTAGGCTCAATTCAGCACGTTATGCCAAATTTCGTGCAAATCGAAAGATATATAGGGACTTTGGTGCACCATTTACATGAAATCGGACGAAACTATATATGGGAGCTATATCTAAATCTGGACCGATTTTCTTGAAACTTGGCAGACATCACTCTAGGCTTAATTCAATACGTTATGCCGAATTTCGTGCAAATCGAAAGATATATAAAGACTTTGGGCAATATTTACATGAAATCGGACAAAACTATATATGGGAGCTATATCTAAATCTGGACCGATTTTCACGAAACTTGGCAGACATCATTCTAGACCTAAATGATTAGGCTGTACCAAGTTTCGTGCAAATCGAAAGATATATAGGGACCGTTTACATTAAATCGGTTAAATATATATATGGGAGCTATATCTAAATCTGAACCGATTTTTCCCAATTTCAATAGGGTTCGTCCTTGGGCCGAATAAGTGACCTATGCCAAATTTCATTCAATTCGGATCATAAATGCGACCTGTACTTTGTTTACAATTTAACATGGACAGACAGACAGACAGACAGACGGACGGACATGCATAAATCGACTTAGAAAGTGATTCTATGAATATTCTCAAAAGGAACCATGTGTCTATCTCGTTTCCTTTTGCCTGTTACAAACATATGCACAAAGACATAATACCCTGTACCACAGTGTGGTGAAGTGTTTTTTTGGATTGAAACCAATTTTGTAAAAAAAATTCCTATAAAATTAAAAAATGCTAAAAAAAGTGCTAGGTGCTAGATCAATTTTTTTGGTGCTAACCGAGTTCAAAAAGTGCTAAATCTATCACTAAAAGTGCTAAATTGGCAACACTGATCCCTACACATGTTATTCTGCAACCTATGCACTGTTTAAAATTTAATCTCAATCAGACACCCATCGATTATTTGGTGAACAATTAACATGAATAAGTTTATCTGCTATGCTATATCTTAACCTGAACCGACTTCAAGGAAACTTACATGCGATTAATTTATATTAACTCCAGTACATTGTACAAATAGGCCTAGCTATAGAATTTATTTAATATCGGACGACAATATATATAGGAGGTGTATGTAAGTGTAATTCAGTACGTTATGCCAAAATTGTTGCAAATCTCACAATTTTCAGGGACCATTTACCTAAAATCGGGCGAAACTATATATGGGAGCTATATCTAAATATGAACCGATTTTCACGAAACATAGCACACGTCATTCTACACTGAATTCAGTACGCTATGCCAAAATTCGTGCAAATTGAAAGATTTTCAGGGACTTTGGAGCACCATTTACCTTAAATCGGGCGAAACTATATATTGGAGCTAT